CTTTTTGCACAGTTAGAAGTTCCTCAATTTTGTGGTCACAGAAATGCTGACAAACACAGTTGTATGCAATAGGGTATATTAGTTATGAGCATTCAATCCATTTTTTCCTTTTAAGGTCATTCTTTCATTAAGCTAGCTTCACACACTGCTGTTTATGATATCAACACTTTCTCCTTCCTTCCTTCCTTCTCCCTCTTAAATGACACTCACTTGCCAAGGCCTGTGTCTGTACTGCAGTTCATTGTCAAATTTGTATCTTATCAAGAGAAGCTATTCAGTGGTTTTATTTAATGGTTCTATTTAATGCTGTCATGCATGCTGCTTTTGTGTTATTTCTACCAAAACATTGATCTTCTCTCAGTTTTAATGGCCACTGTTTGTTGCCAAGTTAACTTTTGAATAGCCTGGGTTAACCTTATGTTACCACTCAGGCAGTTGACTTTTCAAAAAAGGGTGAAACAACTTCTTTGTTTAGAAAAGGGGACAGAAGAGGAGAGGGAAGTGCTTGTTTCAGGTACAGACTGCACATTTCTGAGTGCACTGAGACTACTAGTTCCCTCACCCCACTAGCTGCCAGTAGAAACGGATTTATTTACATTAGTGGTGCTACTCTTGGATTGAAAGCCTTCCATTGTTTGGCTGAGCTGGTATTTAGTTAACACTCGAGTGCTGCCTGTGTGCAGCATATCCAGCTACAAAAATGACCGTATTGCACATAACTGTCCATTCTCTCCCTCCTCAGTCTCCCTCCAGCTCCAGCGTGTGTGTTTGGATTATAATGTTCCATCTGTGGACTAAATATTTCTCTTAATCATACAAGATGACTTTTTACAAAACTCAGAAGTGCATGTGTCTGTATTGCTTTCAGAGCTGGTAGGCAACATCAGCATTCCATGGCTTGCTGGGTGAGCCAAATTTGGAAGCAGACTAAATCCCATAGTAATCTGGGTTTGGATTCATAAAGATAATGCCTCTGGCAGTAAAGGCATCCATCTTGTTCAGAGAGATGCCTTTTAGGATTGTCTTCAGATTTCTCACGAGCCATCATGGTCTGAGTCTTTGAGGTGGGAGTATTGCTTTTAGTCTGATGCGTCAGTAAACTTTTCAGTAACTGCAAGAAGGTATTACCTCTGAAATTCCTTTGCTGGAGCATGCAGTAAGGAGCAGGCAGAAGTGGCAGTTCTAACATGAGCAACATATCCAAGCATGTCTCCACTGCCCCACATAATCCTGTGGGAAAAAGTCCAAAAGTAGCACTCACTAAAGGGGTAGAGCAGCACCATGATGCAACTGGAAAAGTAACTTGAACAGTGAACATGCTTAAACGCAGCTTGCTCTTTCCTCTTCCCTCCCCACCCCAAAAAAAAGAGAAAGAGCAAAAGCTCTAATTCTGATTAGTTTGAAGTTTTTTTATTTAGAGCTGCTTGATTCAGACATCCTTTTTAGTACTAATGAGTACTAGTAGTGGTATAATGCTGTAAAAAATAACATCACTTCCCCCAGCTTCTTTCTTGGAGTTGGCTGACAGCTTTTTCCTACAAATTTGATGGAAGTGAATACTCCAGAAGACATCTTGGGCAATTTTTATTTTACTTTTTTCCCCTAAAGCAAGCATCGTTGCTCTATAATCAACTCACTTTTATAATGGAAGATACTGAAGTCCTGGGGTTCCTCAGTTCTACATACTGCTACCATCTGCATTGCCTGCAGTAGGAGGCAGAGGAAGACAGATTTATCAAATCCTTTCTGTCCTCTCTTTGTGAGCTAGGTTCCTTGCTTTTCCACCAATATGGAGCAATGAGCTGCATCCCCTTCATACCCTGCTCCCCTTCCACCAATCGTATTTCTGACCATATCTCTTGGACATACTCTCATAGGAGTAGAGAGAGAACAAATATTTCTCATCTGTTTGGGTCAGGAAATGGATGTTTGGGGGGTTTTGGTGTCATTTTGTCTTTCTTCATCCCCACCTGACTACCTGCTGCCTTTTTTCATAGCTTGTTAAAGGAAAACACTGTGCAGTTAATTTAACAAACCCTTTCAAAGAGGCAGAGAGGAAACAAGCCGGACACAGCAGGGTGGGGAAAACAGAAAACCACTGTCATGTGATTAGTGCAGCAAAATGCACTAGAGTCTGATTTTTGGGGACAGAAATGAGGCAAGTGGGGAAAGTCATTGGCATGTTGCACTCATATATGAATGGCAAATGGCTATTTCAGCATTTCTTTCTCTATCAGACAAACTTAGCCCACTGCCTTTTTTATTAGTGTGGGGTTTGGGTTTTGGGGGTTTTGTTTGTTTGTTTTTCGTTTTCCTTTCAGCCAAATGTCATGTTCAGGGAACTGCAGCACAAACTGTATTTCCTCTACACGTATGGCTGAATTGTGTGGAGTGAGGTTATGAGGTAGGCAAAGCTGTGGATCTTTTATGGGGTCTTAACTATGCAACTCCTTAATTGTAGACTTCTTAAGTGTGTATATGATCATAATTTCTGAAGTTCTAGTCTTTCTTACTTCATTTAATTTCTGAAGTAATGTATTCTTTTAGAGCTTTGTTAGACTAAAGTTACTGAAACACAGTACAGAATTCAACTCCAAGGGGTGTTTTCTGTGATAGCTTTGACTGCTATAGGAGCTTAATGAAAACATCTGTAAGCAGAATGGAAGCTAGTTTAATATTACACTACTATTACTATAAAATATAATCTCAAAATACTTCAGGCAGGGCGTAATAATAGTAACCATGGAAACTTTGCTTCAAGATTTGAAAGGATGGGGCATCTGCTAGGCTCGCTCACTTGTAGGCAGGAGAGAATTCCGGGTTGCAGTTTAGATCAAGGAGGAGAACTAGTAATGAGGAGAGGGGCTTAGTCTTGGTGCAGCAGTGGCTGCACCTTAACATTAAATCTGGTTGGTGCATAGATGTTACAGTGTTCTTATCCATGGTGGAGAACTCGTATATTTTTATAGAAAATTTGACCTCTTCATAGCCAAAAAATCGGACTTATTTCTGCTGTGTGGTTTTTGGGTTGGGGCTTGGGTTTTTTGGGTGTGCTTTTCTGGTTGGTTTTGGTTGGGGGTTTTTTGTGGGTTTGGTTGGGTTTTTGTTTGTTTTTTTAAGTAAGTGCAAACTTCCATAGAAAAGTTTTTTGGCTTATACAAACCTATCAGGAGGTGGGGGGAGAGAGAAAAAAAAAGTGATGTGTGTTTTGGGTTTTGTTTTATTTTTTAATGCCTGACTGAGTATTTTGAACTGGTTAAGTACTTCATTGATCTTGATAAACAGAAACTAGGGCTGATGGGGGGGATCCTAAATCCTCGTCTCTAAGGTTACAGTTTCTAGCACTAAATTTTCTCATGTTTTTATTAAAAACCATAAACACTATTAAGAGAAGCTCATTGTCTTTGCCAAGGAGGAGGAGGATGCACACACACACGAGAGATCAGGACTCTTCTGACTGATGCAGGCATTGAGAAGTTTTGGTGCCCAGCTTGAAGCTCTTACTAGTTGGCTTTGAAAGTGTGACATCCGGTTCTTTTGTAGCACCCTGGATTTGACTGTTCAGTTCACGAAGTCCGTTTATGTGAGCACGGTGTATTTCTAGTGCATTCATTATATGGAGTCTTCTATTTTGTTTTTGGTTTTGTTTAACTGTGGCTTAGGAACAATAGTTTTTTAACTTTACATTATCTCATGTAATGATGCATGCTTCAACCTGCATGGAATGTGGCTTCCCATCCATGTGGAGTGACTAATTTTTCACAAATGTTGGTGCAGAGGGCTACATCAGAAAGTATGATGCAGTCAAATCTATGAATAAGCTTCCATCTAGAATCTGCAAATTCTGTGCTGGCATGCTGTGTGTTGTCCGGAAGGTGCATAAAAGTCACAGCTCAGTCATCACAACATTTGATGGGGATTGCTCAAAACGTGTTAACAAAAGGTTGAGCTGTGGTACTGCTTAAGGAAGTTAGTGATCGCTGACAAAAAGAGGGATAAAATGTTTTCCTTCTTTGTTTCCCTTTCCATACACACGATCATTTCAAGTACAGGTTGAATTGAGTCTTTGAAAAAAACAGAAAGCCTGTACAATGCAAGTTGAATTTCAGTTATGCTTTGATTATCATTAGGTTCCTGGATGGAACAAATTCCATATTCTGTTACTGTTTTAAAGAGAGAACTTGGAAACTTACGACCGTTTATTTGTCTTGATATGTCAATAAGAACTGATAGAAATACTGCAGCTCTGATCATACAGCCTTATATGGAACAAGGACACTAGCTAATTCAACTGTGTGAGTTTTAGGTAATAGGATCATGTGGTAGCATAATTGTCTTGCCTACTTGGCAATATTTTTAGATTAAGAAGGTTCGAGATTAGGAAGTGACTTACTTTAGCATTTCTTACAATAACTTGCTGGTAAGATGGCCTTTTATTTAAGACAGCTGGAACTCATTGTACAGTTCAAACATCCTCTGATGCCCTGTAGAAAAGTAAATAGAAACAGAAGTGAGGTAATGGTCAGAGTACCTACAACTGGAGAAAATGCCACCTGGTGCCAGAGCAGAGATTAAAAAAAAAAGTTTGGGCTGCCTGGATTCAGACACCAGCTGAACAAAAAGAGCTGACTGCTGGTAGGCTCAGTCTCAAATGCAGACATCCCAGAAGTACAAGAACAGCCTTTCTAAGGCTAAGGCTATTTTGTAAGACTTTGCTCCTATGCAGGAAAAGTATTTATTACTAACAAAACTACTCACAGTCTTTAACTTTACTCTTGTGAAGACTTTATAGTCTTAGCATTTTGATACTTTGTCATTCAGGTTTTGAATCAAGTTTGTTCAGGAATTGGTGCTTTGAAGCAGAAACTAAATAAGATTATAGTTTACTGGGTTTGTTTGTTTGAGATGACTCAGTGAGATTAAAGAGAGAGAGTTCTGTCTTTAAGTAGTTCAGTTTATATGCACAGCCCATCTCACTTGTTTCCTCTCTCTTTTTCCAGTTCACTGCTCCGCTATGGTGGAAACCTCTCCCTTCAGAGTGCCATGAGTGTCCGGTTCAACAGCAATGGAACCCAGCTGCTGGCACTGCGTCGGCGCCTTCCCCCGGTGCTCTATGACATACACTGCCGGCTGCCTGTCTTCCAGTTTGATAACCAAGGGTACTTCAACTCATGTACTATGAAGAGTTGCTGTTTTGCAGGTGATCGTGATCAGGTAATAAGCAAGCAACGCTGTCCGAGGCTCCAGAGTTTCCTTGAGTGTTTGAAAACACCTCTGTAAGGGGTTTTTTTTCTGATCCAGGAGATAAAATAGAAGTCGGGACACATGTAGGCTAGAACTGTCCTCAGAATTGTTTTGCAACGTAGGCTCTGAAGGAAGAAAAACATATACCAAAGCACATGATAAGTTTTATCTTTTGTTTGATACGATTTAATACTTACTTGGAAGGTGATATTCACAAGAAAAATATTTGCAGAGGCTTTTTAGGCCTGATTAATAAAACTTTAGAACTATGAGTAGACAATATTATCTACATTTGATAAGGAAGCATCTTTTTTTCATTTCAATATTGCTATGGAGTGCAGTAGAGGCAATCCCAAGAACATAAATATTGTGCATTTATAGAGTTACTGATTCTTATTTCAAATTACAATGTTTCTCTTCTAATACTATAGTACTGTATCAGATTATAGGTCTTTATAGTTCATTGTTCTGTAAGTGGTGATGGCGGGTGTTTAGGAAGGAATAGTTTGTTACTTCACTGAGGCAGGACTCTGTCCCTGCTACTAATCACAAAGAAATGGGTCACACATAAGATGAGTAACAGCAGTTTGTGTGATTCTAGAGCTGGATATTGTCTTTGGTCAGCGGTATTTAATAACCACTAACACTGTTTAAGGACAAAAAAATGTATTTCCAAGCCATGATAGTATAGAACTGAGATCTGAAAATTTCTTTGCTGTCATAAATACAATTCCTGCGGTCAGAATTTGGTCATTAATTCTATTGCTGTTGCTGCAGGAGGCAGTGTTGAGCTTCTTTCAGACTGCAAGTAGGAAATACATGTACGTCACTGAACTTGAGCAATGTGTCTGAGTTTTATATAGCGTTTGGCAGAAGGAGTGTGAAAATGCAATGGTGAAACCATCTTAAAAAAAATGGAGTGGTTTACTGTAAAGAATGGACAAACACATGTATTGTTCAAGAAGAAAACTGCTGATGTCCATTATTTAATGAGCCTAAAGATGACACTCTTTTCTCCTGTGGAAGTCAGAGTAGACCTGTATACACTCTGACATATAGTTTAGCTTCTCATCTGTTCCTGAAGATCTAGATAAAAGCCTGAGTGTCTGTTGTGCTTTCTAAGCCATTTTCTTATGGGTATGGTGTTAGTTTAATGAGAAGAACATGGCTTTTCGGTATCAGGTTGATGCGGTACTTCAGAAGCCTGCATTTTTAAAAAATTTGCTATTCTTTTGGCTTGACAGACTTTCTGTTCAGATAAGTAGCAGTACATAATGCTGGAAATCAGAGCAAAAGACATTTATATTCCCTTATAAATGCAATAAGAAGCTAGTAGGGAAGATGAAGTTTAATATGGAATGTTAGAGAGATGTGGAATTTGACATTTAGATACCTGCACATACCCATCCTCTAATTGGAAGGAAAAAAGATAATGAAGTCACAGAAAATGCGACCATGTGCTCCAACTGCACATGTCTGAAACTGTCCAGTAATGCTTAAATTCAGACAACTTAAGATTGTCAACGCTACGGATAGTCCTTAGGGACTGCCTTTCACAGAGAACCTAATTCCAGTTCTAGGTGTGCCTAGAAAAGAAGGTTAGAGTTGGAACCTGCTGTAAGATACGCAAGGTAAAAAAAAAAAAAATTACAATGTTTTTTGAGTTTTGCCTTTCTGTACAATTAGTATGCTTTAGCTTTTTGGTGAGCTGTAAGAGTATGAAATAATGTATACAAGAGTCCCCTCGCAAATCAGATTTCACCAAAAAAAGAAATAAATCTGTTTCCAATTTAATCTGGTTCCAGCTCCCTCTCCCATTTAATATTGCTGTCTTTTATTCAAGATCCATGCAAAGTGAGCTTCATAGAATTCCTTGCTTGTATTTCCTTGTAGAATCAAAACTTTGTGTGGGCTAAGGTTCATCTGAAGGGATCTAATGATAAGAAAGTTGTGTTCAAATTATGAGAGGCACTTGTGGTAGGAAGGCTTCTTCAGAAATGTTCTTTCATTGCACCTCTGATTTTCTCTGTCTTCGATTTTTCTTTTCATCTTTATTAAACTGATGACTCAAATCTTTTTTCTCCCTTAAGCTGTCTTAAATAGTTAGGTTTTAATACTTCATACAGAGCCTAGTAATTTAAAAAAGTGACTGTCCTGTGTTCAGAACTATTATTGTCTGCACTGTTAGCTCATCGGATAAAGCTGCATTTTGATTCTATGTTTTAACCCTAACAAGAAAGATACATCCTTAATTCAGGGCTTAGAATGCAGTTGCATTGGGGAAAAACTGAACTGCTGAAAGACGAAAGCCTTTCTTATCCAGCAGAGGTGCTGCAAAACCTTTCACTGATTAAACTTCCTAACCTGGCAGAAGCATTTACTTTTTTTCTGGGTTAATGACTTGATTGACAGTCAGGGGGCTCTGGCAAGCGTTTGAGTGCAATATAAGGAAGGGATTAGAGGGTGGATGAGAGATGGACCGATGGCCTTTCAGCACTGTGAGTCTCAGCTCCTCACAGAACTACAGAGTTTGCTAATCTTTCTGTGAAGCTTGTACATGGAGAATGGTTTACTCATAGGAAGTTTTCCTATAAATCATGACCATCAGGGTTTAAAAACCCACAACTGTTAGTATCTTAGTACTTGCCTTTGGAAGTTTGCTGTAACACAGTGGTGAAAATCTACAGAGAAGGTAAATAACACTATGTTCCATATGGAACTGTTGTAGCCTTCTAGTATGGCAAAAATGAACAGATTACGAGCTGCAAGCACACAATTTAGGACTTGTCTTGGAGATCACCCTTACTTTAAGAAATTAAATACTTAAGTTCCATAATGATCAGACGTGTTATTCTTACTTTGACAAGGTATGTGTGTTAAATGAATACAATTTCTTTGCACAAATGAAACACAGACTGCTAGTTGGAGAACAGGTTGATTGGTTTGTCTGTTGATAGCAGTTAGGCTTTGCATACTAATCTTTTCTCAGTATTGTCTTTTTAGTGCCCACAGATTGTGACAGGTACTCAATAGGACTTGGATCCAGAACTCTGACTTGTCACTCTAGAGGGGAACCTGCTACCAGCAGGTGTGCAGTGACCTGCATACCAGCTCATTTTATTGGAGCCTCTGTGATGCATGTAGATTGAAACCTCTTAATAAAGAAACACCATTAACGCTTTAAGGAACAAAACTCAGAAAGATTCACCTGTTAATAACCCCAGTGATATTTTTAAGTTCAAAAGAATGCATTCCGAAGTGCTTGGATGGTTTTGAGTTGTTGCAGGTATTTTGGGTGTGTGAGCTGTAGCACAAGCTAAGTGACAGGGATCTTGGAGGATGAACAAATTTGCTTCTTTTTGTGTCCTTGCAAACTGTTGTTTTCCTCTAAAAGCATTATTGCCCTAGGCCTTGTGAACCTGATTTGAAAATCAGCGAACAGTATATGCAAGCGTTTTTCCTAGAAATGCTACAGTCAGGGCTTTTTTTGTTTATTATAACTACCAAAGCTTGAGAGGCAATGTTTAGCTGGTGTTTTATTTGCACCCATTTTTAATTGCCTTTTACTTGGTCCTCTCAGAACTCTGTCTTTTGTCCATGTTGTGAGTGTAATGACCTCATTCACATGACACTGATTTTTCTTTGTGGGAGAGTGGTGATGTTGGTAGATAAACGCGTTCAGAATTGTGTGCCATTTGCATTATCCAGGAGCTCACTTGAGTCATACAGCTGTGGAAGGGAGGAAGGATAAGATAGGCTAGGTGGATCAAGCATGACTCTCTGTTGGCTATAGAAATTTATGTGAGAGCATAATTAAGCCATCCTTCTGGCACAGGTATCCAGGCCCAGAATTTTAAAGGCAGTTTATTTACGCACTTAACTCCCACTGACTTTACCCTAGTGTGCACAAGTGTTTGTTTACATGCAAATCATAAGATATGTGAGAATCACAAATTGTGTCAGGGTACTGGGGGAGTTTCCGTTCTTCTTGTCAGTGTTAGAATTTGGGAAATGTTGTTTAAATACTAAGGATTTTCAGTTGCTAGACTGGTATGGGAAGTATCTTCTTGGATCTGAGGATACAGAAAGTATTGAAGGGCTTTAGGTACCCAAATTCATTTTTAAGTGTAGTAGGCTCAGAGACCATGGTGATGGGCAGCAGCAGAATAAGACCTACAAAAAAACCTGCAAAACACAGCCCCCCCTCCAAACTAAAATAGACCAAAAGCTTTTCTTGCTCAAGAATTGATGCGTGTGTCACAGTGATGACTACTATCAGCTCATTCCTTTTTTTCACTGTGCAGATAATGTGAGGCTCTATAACACTTGTAGCTGTAAAATCAACTGCCTATTGCTCGCTTTAAAAAAAGGTGGGGGTGAGGAGAAATAACTTGTACCCTGTGAGTCAAACAAAAAGTGTCTTGACTCTGGCATGCCCTCAGACATTACATCACCACTCAGCCTTTTCTGTTGACATTACACTGGTATAGGAGAGTTTCAGGAATGCACCACTCACGGTACTGCAGACTGCTCCAACTCCCTATAAAGTTACAGCCTTCATTATGTTGAAGTCTGTGTGCTAAATAGCCCTGGTTATGGACAACCCAGTTTTTAGCAAGACAGAATTATTACATGAATATAACCCTTCCAAGAACAGGATTAGCTGTATAGGTGCCATGGGTCTTATATGGTTGTGCATTGCCTTTGTAAAGAAATAGAACTTTTCTTGTGTGTTCTTCTTTGTGTCATCTAACTTAAAGACCATTTATCTCAGGAAGTAGTACTTATCAATGTCTAGCTTTAAAAACTAAAAAGAAAAAAGGGAATTGTTCTTCTAAAGAATATATTGTGCGTTTCCTGTGCACATAAGACTTCTTAATGAATAGTAGCTTATTGCAGTCAGCATTTCCTAATATATAAAAAGTACTGTGTGCAAATATGTTGCTGTGCTTGGATAAAAAGAAAATCAG